TTCACTAATTGCAGATAATGAATGGCATGCAGAGAATTCTCATGTAAATATACTTTGTGTCAGACTAAATGATTAAATAGGTATCTCTAAAATTGTTTAAATAATAGATTCAGGCTATAATCCTGTGCACATCTAAAACTTTAACTTTATAACACCTTGTGTGTGTAGATAAACTTTGACTTCAGTTATGCTATAGTCATGATTGACAACTCTTTAAAAAAAAACCTAGAAATTATAGAAGGGGGATCTACCTACCCATCTACCTACTTGATATCACACTTTTCCTAACATGCTATAGATTCTTTACAGTAGTAAAAAATTTGGAAACTGAAAGAACAAAGGCATAAATGGATGTCACATTGGGAGGAAATATGGTAAATGCTTGTGCATGATTAGCATCCATTATAGGATTCTTTAACTAGATTTCAGATAGATTTATTATTATTACAGTTGTTAAATAAGATGGAAATCGAGTAAGATATCAAACAACCAAACACACATTTGTCTTCTCCAAATAAAATAAGAATGTTCACAGTATTAAATAAAAAAAAATCCCTTGAAAATAAGTAGCCATGTGTTTAAGACTGGGAAAGTAAATGAAGCCATATGTTAAGAATCTGAGCGTGTTAATCCTGTAACAGGAAAAGTATCCTCACTGGAACATATATTTTATTGTTTGCTTTAATTGTTTGTATCTAACTTTTAAAAAGTTAGTACATAGTTATCTTTAAAAAACTGCTAGGATTTATCTGTTACTGTTTCAATTATTGAAAATAATTTGCTTTAAAATAATTTACTAAAGTTTCTTACTTTGATAAGTGGTCACTGTGTTAGAGACATCAGCCATTTTTCCAGTCAAAAACATGGCAAGTTCCATGTGTTTTGATAGTGAACTTTATAACAGTCAACCATTAATTCTTAATTTTTACTTAAGGAAGGGTGGAGCAACAGCATTTCCTTGTGATGGATTTCCTCAGCATGAAAATAGGGAAATTGCTGTTTAAAGAAGATGAAAGTCTTTCAACCTGGAATTTAAAAAACAGCACTTATTATTCCACATACTCTTAAGAACAAAGTCCTACTTGCTGTGTTTCCTGATAGCCTTTTTCCGGAGTTAGTAGAATAACTTGCTTACTTACAACCTTGATTTGATGGCTTACATCCAAAGGTTATGTGTGTGTGTGTTTGAGAGAGAGATTAAAATGAGTCTAGCCTCTAGTTCAAAGTATCTTTTAAAAGGGATTCTGATGTTAATTCTTATTAGATATTTTATTTTATACAGATAGAAAAACTGTTCAAGAAAATTTTTATGGCGTGACAAGGACCCTTAAACTGAAGTTATCTTATGCTGATAATTATGGTTAAATTACTATATTTTCACCTCTATCACTGGGCTTTTCTTTTAACATTCTTACTCTTGGAATACCATATATTTTGTGCTTATTTAGAGAGTTAGTGTGTGTGACCTGTCTGAAGTCATGGCAAGACCTAGGGTATAATAAACATCTCAGACATAAACTTGGGTATAATAAACAGGATTTGTTTTTCCTAGCCTTGAAACCTGGTAGACATATGTAAACATTAATAGGTAAGTGATTAAATTTGGACCCAGAATTGCATGAGAAGGTGACCTTGTAGAATAACCCCAATGTGAAGATGGAAGAAAATGTTTTATTGGCAAATTTGGGCCAAGTAAGAAATTAATATATTGAATCAGCTGCTACCTAACAGCTATTGTAATACTTGAAAGTTTAAGCACTATTATATTTGAAGTAATATCACTGATCCAATTTTATGGGAAACAACAAAAAAGATGAAGATTAATATAGATAAAGTACATGGAGTGAGAAATGGAATATCCAGTTTTGAAAAACGAATGGATCCAAGTATTAAGTAATGTAAAACAGTACCTTTTATGATCTAGAAATGAAGTTGTTCATCAAAAGAATGTTTTTAAAAAGTTGGACATATTTTAAGAAATTTATAGAATCAATGCCTTTATCAAAATCTATGGTGTAGCCATACTTGAAATAATACTCTCAGATATGGCCAGTGTGCAGAAAAGGAAACAAAAATAATTGTTGAAAGATTTTAACTTTCTCCTAAGAGGAAAACTTAAAACATTTAGGATTTTTCAGGTTTAAAAATGATAGAGAAATATAAAATTGTGTATGTAATGAAGAAAATGGATAATAAAGTGAAATCTCGATTTGGCAGACTTTAATGCAATAGACTTCTGATACAATGGATGAAATTCCTATTTTACTTACTTTATTTTCATAATGACATCATAAAACAAATTACATAAAATTACACAATTTATGCCATTTGCATGATGATATTGTCCCAGATTTAGTGGATAAATGGAAATAATGGATCTCCTTTTTCCAAGTTGGTCCATTAAATTGAGGTTTCATTGAACTACAGTCTGGTCTGATCCAAGGAAGGCCAGCAGCAAGGGATGTATTTTGTCACATGCCTGGATAAACTACAGGTAACTTTAATTCTTTAAGGTATTAATTAGATTCATGAAAGGCATCCAGAGGTTATGATTGGTTGCTATATTACCTCTAGTAATAGTGATATTAAGGCCCTCAATTAGGTAAAAGGAATGTGAAAATGCTGTTGTGACCTGTTGGGGTTTTCCACAGGCATCTGGTTGGCCACTGTGTGAACAAAATACTGGACTAGATAGATCTTTGGTCTGATCCAGCATCTTGTCTTCTATTCTTATGACAATGTAACAAAACATCAGTGTCCTCTTCCTTCACCATACACTAACTTTCCTTATCAATACTGGTGTAATAACGCTGTGACTGGCATGCTGCCTGAAGACCTGATATTCTTCATTTTTTGTCCTCATAATCACAAATCTCTTTTCCCTCACCACCTGTTATATCCAGAACAGTTTCCCTCTTTCAGTCACAGGAGTTCTTCATATTCAGTGTTATTAAGCCTTTGTTAAATTGCTCTAATCTCGATATTTCTATGGGTATAAAATAAGTCAGACAAATATAGCAACAGTATTCCTGCTAACTTGTTAATATATGGCCTTATTTTTTTCTGAGAACTGTTTTTGTATAGAGAGTTATGGGACACAGTATTTTGGCAAACAGAAAATTATCCCATCTAGCAATTATGGTATAATAAATGCATATACCATATAGCATCTTTCTCCCAGTTTGGTTTGTAGCCACTAACAATGTATTGATATAAAGCTAAGAGGATCATTATAATTTAATAAATAAAATGTTCATTTATCATGAAAACTCTTATAAGAGGATACAAAGTAATAGCTTCTTTATGGACGTACTATGGGTCCCCATATTTCCTAAGTTATTATTTGTTTTAACCATTGTTTGTTGTTGCAGTAAGCCAAAATAATTAACCATATTAGCAGGATGTGTGAACCCAGTCTGTGTTTCATGCAACTTGAACAGTTTGGTTTAATGGTTGGCATTGCATACTTGCTAGATGACTAAGTAAGAATTTCTCCAACTTCTCTGTATGCCTTCTTGAGGTTCTTGGCAAAAAGAGAAGGTACAAAACCAGACTTTCAGGCTTCTTGGCCAGATTTGCCAAAACAAAAGGCTTTATCCTTCAGTGCAAAATGTGTGAGACAATAGCCGTCAGAAAGGTATATAAAATACCTTATCAGTTAGAAACTAAATTTTTTGCTATTTTGAGCCCTTTATTAAAATCCATTAGAATGAGAGAAAAAAGTTGTATTACAGAAATACAGCATTCTTATTTTATCATAAAAAGATATGTAATCTAGTGTTCTTCATGCTGTAAATGTTGTATAAGAATTCTAAATGCCATTCTTGCAATTTAGCCTTCAAAGTTTAAACAACCAACTCTATTTAGAAATGGGTTGCATGCCAGCAGTTAAAGCACTGCCATATAGGGTATGGCAAAACCAGTGGTTTTGGAATGAGATCATGATAAACTTGTTCAGCTTTGCTATCACAAATACATATAAAAGTTTCTTTCATTTAGTTATACTCCCACAAAAAGATACCAATTATTTTGTATTTTTGGTTTTCTTTTACATTTTAGCTTTCTGCAGCAGAAACTTCCACTATAGGTTGCAAAAGGAAGAACCGTCACAGTCTACCCATGATCTTGCAGAACTAGTTTATTCAAAAACAGATGTGATTGCTGATAAGGGTTATGTCTATTTTGATATAAATATTATATATGTTTGTGTGCTTTTCAAAATTTTAAATTCATTCCTTTTCAAGGCCAACAGATTCAAATTCATTTCACTAACCTCAAATGCTATGTCCAAATCAACTGATAATCGATACCTTTGTGAATGTGCTGCCCTCTTGTTCACTAGCTTTAGATGATGGCTAGGAGGTTTGGTATCCTAGGAATTCTATGTACTGAATGCTTTTTAGACAAACCGATAATATCCTGAATCTTGCTAATGAATCAGTATGTTCTACACCGGCTCTGGATTTTCAGTGTTGTTGATTATATCATTGATTCCACATTGATTAATGCTTCAAGGAGAGCCAAAGTGTATTGAATGTACTCTTTTTATGAGTCGGATTCTTTTAAATATTAGAATGTATTGATTGCGAATATTTGAGCCAAGCAAGTGGAACCATGAGTAGAACTTCCCTCTTCCACCTTGTTTTAATACCCAGAAATTCATTTTCTTACCAAAGGCAGAACATATTTTTAGATTTTAGACAGCAAGTATGTGTAACTTGGGAGACACGGTGGCGCAGCGGCTTAATGACGCTGAAAGTTGCTGGCCAGAAATGGTCGACGCTTCAGCGGTTCGAGTCCAGCCTTCGCGTTAGCAGGGTAAGGAAAAAAGAGGCTAATTCCATAATAAATGTTTGCAGGATATGCTGTCATTTTACTGTTTGCTGTGCACTACCAAATATATGTATTATGCATATATTCTCAATGCATAGTTTTACTTTTTAATTGTAGTAGAACTAATCTTTTTATTACTTTGGAATTTTCAACCTGTTTTGCTCTAGGATGTTCAGAAGGAGAGAGAAACTCAAAATTACCTCACCAAGGAAGCAATCAAGGAAAAAGTCCAAATATACAATTCAGATGTTACTGACAAGCTAAAGATGACTTTGGTAAGCTTTTTATATATGGTTTTTATTATGATTTGGTAGCATGTCTGCCTGGTACAGTAGTATTAGTCTGCCTCCCTGAAGTCAGCACCAGATGTGCTTATCAGTGCTATAATGTGATAGCAAGTAAACTCTATTGCATAAAATATTTCTTAGCTTTCACCTAAGTGCATTTTGTGGCTCTGACTGTTCTTTCTCGCTGTGCGTGCCTCAAGGTCTTAGCAGTATAAACCTCCAATTTTTGTGACCGCTATTGAGTCATATTAAGGTGAACATTAAGAGAACATATTCTCTTCCCTTTTGAGATATTTGTGCTTGCTGTGCTTACTCTGCTGTTTTTATTGTATTAAGTTTTATTGTCATTGCTCTCTTTTTTATTAAAAAAATGGTTTTACAGTTTGGCTTTTGTGACTTGTTTGTGTATCCTAACTTTCTTATGATTTGGATACCTGTTCTAGAAGATATACAAGTGCACTAAGTCTCCACCATCAAACAGATATTCTTTGTGCCTTGTGCGTTTGAGCAAGGAGTGTTTAATAAATCACAGTGCAATTACTCTACTTTTCTCAAAGTCTTTCTGTGAGAACATGTACTATAGCAGTTATTGTGGCTATCAAACCAGATCAATATATCTCCAGCCTTGATTGTACTCATGCTAAGGCATAGGTCCACCTATGACTCATTTATGCCCCTGCATCCCAAGACCTAGCTATCATTCTTGGTCTAGTCCGTGGCATTCTTTGGTACAAGAAATTGCCCCCAAACCAGGCAATTTACCATTTAGTACTGATGTATGAACAACCCCTGATCAAGTCTTGAAATTGATATACTCTTTACTAAGTTGCTAATAACTAATCATTAAGGTATAAAAATATCTGGATCTGTTGGAAATTTAAGTCACTACAGCTGCCATGCACTTCATAAACTTTTAAGTTGCTTCTGAAGAACTAAAGGGAAGGAAACCAATTTAAAGGTTACATGTTCCCATATAGCAGCTTGTATAGATCATTGAAAGCACCTCTGCTGTGCAGCTGGGAGGCATTTTTTCCAATTCAAGTGTTTCTTTAGTTTCTACACAATTGCCTGTTGGTAGTAGAGATTGTACTTTTGATGTATGTGTTAACCAGACTTATTCCACATCCTGCATAGGATCATTCAACTTGGGTAATGGCACCATTAATTGCAGCTTTTTAAGACATTTCCCTGACATACATTGTACAGCTACCTGTTCCCAACTGTTGACTTTGATTTGATGTTACATTGATCGATCTTTTTCACCTCTGGTAAGCATAGCTTGCTAGTCATCCTTATGCATGATGCACAGAGACCTCAACATAAATTCAGGTTGCTTATTTATAACCTGTGGATTTGGAGTGTTCATCTGTGCATTCATATGATTCTCCCCACATTCCTCATGCAGGCACTTAGCTGTTTATCTGTGGGTGATTACAGTGGCCTCATGGTTACTATGTGCAGTGGGAAAGACCATTAAGGTCTTTAAAAATGCAGTTCACATTTAGAATGTTCTGATAGTATCTGCTCAGAAAACCTATATGTGTAATTACCCAGATGATTGTTCAGTCACAGTTATAGGTGGTCCTCGCTTAACGACCACTCGTTCAGTGACCATTCAAATTTATGACCACTGAATGAGTGGTACTTATGACCAGTCCTAGATGTTCCAGCCATCGTAGTGTCCCACAGTCACGGGATCATGACCCGGGTGCTGGGTGCCCACCTTGCAATTATGATGTTGCAGCATCTTGTGGTCACGTGATTGCCATTTGAGACTTTCACTGCTGACTTCCAACAAGCAAAGTCTGTGGGGAAGCTGACATAAAGTTGTAAATGGTGACCACATGAAGTTACTCTTAATGATGGCATGTGATTCACTTAACGGTGGCAACCAGAAGTGCCAGAATTTCTGTCACTTGTGCGGTAGTAAAGCACAATGTCATGTGACCACACTGCTTAGTGACAGAAATTCCAGTACTTCCATTTGCTACCATTAACTGAGGATTACTTGTACAGATAAGCAGTCTGTTGTTACATAGGAATCGGGGGAATAGTTAGTGCAGCAATAAGTCTCAACCATCAGCAATGGCAATCTGATTACTTGCTGAGTCTTTCTTTTTCCCTCTGCCATGTACATGAAAATGTATCCTCCATTTTGTTATGGAGCACATGAATATGCTTTCATTGTATATGTGTGTGTGTGTGCTTTATTTATAGAACTCAAGCGGAGTATACACTGGCTTCATCAAAGTTCAGATGGAACTTTGCAGACCTATCACTCTACGGGCTTCTGTGAATGTAGGGAAGCATCTCAACAGCAATGAGACAGCTTTTTATTTGCCTAATGGTTATATGAACACTCTTCATATCAGCAGTACTAACACAGTCCGTGAAGTTATTGAGGCCTTGCTCAAAAAGTTTCTAGTGGCTGATAATCCTGCCAAGTTTGCACTTTATAAACAATGTCACAAGGAAGATCAAGGTATGCAAATAGATTTTTCAATACTTGTGAAGAAATAACCCGAGTTGTAAGTGGATTAAAAAAAAAGATTCTATTGCTAATTTCATTCTTTTATGACTTAGACATAGTGGAATTATTTTTGAGGCGCTGTGTGTTGGGAAAGAGATTTATTTGGCAAACTGATCTGATTTTCATTAAAACATTAAAAACTATTAAAAATAGCAGAAATCAACCTTCCCTTTTTGAAGTGTGTTTCATATATACTTAGCATAAATTTCAGCTGAATAGAATCTTTGTACAACTTCAGTGTCTTATCTAAAATCTTTGGTTGTACAGCCAGCATGCGGAGTTATATATGTTTGTGTGAACCAGGAAATTAGGGATATCAGTATCACACTGACTTGGATTTTGAACAACTTAAATTTGGTTTGATATTGTGACTTGTTCTAAAAGTCATTAACGATTTGGATGAATTAGGAGACCACAGTCAATCTAATGTTTCATAGTTTGAGGAGAGTTGAAGGTGCTATGTACATTTGGCATAAGTCAGTACTTTTATCTTGGCCTCATAAAAGATATTATTTGTGCTTCAGAATCACTGATTTAATCCATGCTGAGCCATGGTTTATGTGCAGCCATAATCATGGTTTCAGTATGAAAGCACGCAGCAACTAAATCACATTTCAGGACTGCTTATCTGTTTTTGTTTGCTTTCTTTCATAAGCTCAGTACTCTGATTCAAAAGTTCTTATCGTCATTGTGAGGCAGTTTAATGGACTTGATTGTCGTTTGTGAAGCTTAATATAGATAGCTTTATAAAACAATGATTTGGAAGCTGTCCTCTAATTTCAGAATGCATGTTCCCTTTTCTTGAGGCTCTTTTGAATTACTAGATATAATTGTTGATTGCTAATTAGTGTTTCACACTTTTGTGAGCTTGCATCTTCCTTGATTGGGAAAACCTGGCCATACCTAGTTATCTGATAGTCCAACTAATATTGACTTGGATACTCATTCAGTTTTAAAACTGACATGTTCAGAAGGGCTTACAAGTCATCGAAACAGGTTCAAGCAGCTTTATCTTTGGATGGTGCTAACAGTGCTCCCAACTGTTTCTTTGTGTGTTGTGTCTGCACAGCCACTTTACTTTGCTAGGAAAAAATGAACCAAAGTGGCTGAAGGGTGTCCTTTATCGTGCTGCTCATCATCTTGCTCCAGTTAGTGGCATCAAAGAACTTTTATGGTCCAGGAAATCCTTTACTCTTGCTGACACACCATGAGATTTTCAGTGGTTTGGGCCACCATTCTCAATGTTCTTGGAGCAACAGTCCCACATATCCAAATGACTTTGGTGGCTGTAAAGGAATCAACAAGCCATCTGTACTTCTGGAGTGAAGAGTTCATTTTTAGTCCCCTTGGGGAGTTGAAGCATCTGCAGATTTGAGGGATGGAACAGTGTCCTGTAGCACAACATCCCACCCTCCTGGATGCTGAGCTTTTCCCCTCTAATCCCAATGTTCCCCATCTCCCTGGGGCCCTAAACAGCAACATTCTGTTCCCCAGCAAGCTGAACATATGGCCATGAAAGTGGCAGCTGTTAACTTGAAGAGGCCATAAGAGTGAAGTGCCATGCCAGCCCCTTCTGGTCATACTAGCAAGGACAAGCTTTGTAAGTGTCTAAAGGAGAAGGTGCTGGCTTTCTTCCTCTTGGTCTTCAGCTTGATCCTTAGACCTCAGGAGGTTCTCAGAGAGGAGAGAGAACCTGGTTCACATGGCCAAATGAGAAGTGGGATAGGGAATTTGTTTGGATTCTGTGAATGGGTTCCCAAGGCACCAGTGAATCTGATAGAAAAGGAGGAGAGCTATCAGAAGAACTGAAGAAGATAACTCCATTAAGGACCTTACAAGGCAGTTTTATCAAAGCAATTTCACATTTATGGACAAGAATATTTATGTGGGGCTCTGTCTCCATAGTCATTTTGGCTTTAGCTGCCACAGAAGCCAGAATCTTCCTGGCAACCAGGGTTTTTTTTTCCTTTTAGACTATGGATAGTCTAAAGTAGGAATAATGGCCTCACATAAAAGGTAAGGTGAGTATTTCTAACAGTAACTTCTATTGCTGTCCACCTTTTGAAGGAGGCCAGATCAGGAAAGAGACTCCACAAAGACTACTGGAATGTACTTTATTGTTTCAGGGTATGGCAAAGACTCTCTCTCCCCGCTTTTATACCAAAGAGAATCAAGTCAGGGCCTTCCTGAGTTTCTTTCTCACCTTATCCTCCCTTCCAAGGCTAAGCTGATATTTACCTAACAGCTGTTGAATTCCTTCTTCAAGGCTATCTTGATATTCTTCTACAGTTGCTGCCTCTGCTTCTCTGGGTTTCTTTCACCTCCAGCGTGTGCAAAACCTTGTTAAAGAGAAGAAGTGATGTTTTTCTTGTCTCAAGCAAGCATAGAGCTTTACTAGAGAGAAGAAAAGGCTAAGGAGATAGGAAGAGCAACCTCCTTGCTCTTCTCCCCTTTACTATACCTACCCTTACCTCTGTACCTTCCCCTATAGCAGCCTTAACTATTGCAGCCCCTGCCTTCATAACGCAGGCAGCAACTTGCTGGCCTAATTTTGGAGTTGTGGCAAGAATGCTGTGGGGGCAGTGATTTTTGAAGCTGTGTGCTTCCTCCTATTCCAGGAATAGGGAAGCATATCACTGAAGGTGTGGATAAAACCCCTTTGTTCCATTCCAGCAAGCTTCCCTTGACAGTGGAAGGTCCTCCATGACAATTCCTGGGTGGATTAAAACATGTACCAATGCTATGAAGCCCACTCTGCTGATGCCCTAGCAAGTATAACAGCCCACTCCAATGTGGCTACTTTTTCCAACAATATCCCACTGATATATGCAGTGCAGCAATTTGGTCCTCAGTCTTTTCCATTGTGATGTTCACAAGCATTGACTGAGGCTTCCTTTCTTTTGATGAGTTCTGCAACACATACCTTGTTGGTAAGGCTGATCATCAGATAGTATCCATTTTGTTGTTAGCTGCTGGGTTTGAATCCTAGCTGAAGATACTCTCCAGCCACCTTGGATTTATCATGAAATTCCTTTTCCTGTCATGGTATCCAAGACCACCTCCCCCCTTTTAAAGATAGTTTTTGTAAATAGATAGATAGATAGATAGATAGATAGATAGATAGATAGATAGATAGATAGATGAATACGAAGTCACTTCTATAATATCTACTTTTACACATATTTTTTTTCTATCTTACATCATGGAACTCTTGGCTGGGACATTGCTCTTTTCCATCTCTAGAGACTAGAAGAAAGGATTTTATCCTGCTTAGTAGAATAATCCAACTAATGAAACCCTCTAGTCACAGTAGAAAAATGAATTTCACAGTAAATCTTGTGTTTTATTCTCTTTCTTTCCTATATTGCACATATAATTTTTAGAGGATACTTCTTGAGTTTTCTGAATGTAAAATGTACGTTTGTTTAGAGCTGCCCATTAACCTCACTTGGGTGACTATGGACTTTCATAAACTATAATAAATAAAGAGCAGTGGAATAGAAAGGTAGGATATTCATCACCAATCAAAAATTATGTTTCCAGTGCACCATTCCTTATTATTTGTTGCTCATACTTCTCCATTTATGTAGTGTAGTATCACTTGAATTCTGGGATTCCTCTGTGTGTGCACTGATATAGTTCTGGTTCTAATAATCAGCAGAAATCCTGAGTGCGTATTACTTCCTTTTTTTTTGTAATCTTATTTGCAGTTTATATGTGCAAACTCTCAGAAACAGAACATCCTCTCTATTTGCGGTTGGTGGCTGGCCCAAGAACAGATATGCTTAGCTTTGTTTTACGTGAGCATGAAACTGGAGAAGTTTTGGTAAGTTGTACTTGTGTTGTGTACTTGGAAATCGTCTTGATGGTCCTCAAGTCCAACTTGTTCATTACCAGGATTTCTAATTAGTTGCATACAATTTCCTATTCAAACATATTGAATGTATTCTTAGGCTTCATGTTTATAGAGAAAAATCAAATAAGTAGTTAATTAAAATATAGTGCAGATTATAAGAGTTTTATAGAATCATACATTGGAAAGGCCATTCAAATCTTTGAGTTCAGTGCCATGCCATGCTCAGTGTAGGAATCTGGTCTAAAGTATCCCTAATGGCTGAATGTGTCTGCCAAGAGTCTACCACCTCTCTGGCGAATTGATTTTATTACTTAACTGTTCTTATTGTTAGTAAGGAGTTTTTTTTTTTCACTTAACATTAAATAAAAATCTCACTTTTGGTAAATTCAATCCATTATTTGGTTTTACTTTCAGTTGCTGTTGATATAGTTCTGATTTAGCTATTTATTATTATGTTTTTCTTGTCTGAAGTTATAGACCGCCTAGAATTCTTTGGGGCTGTGGTGGGTTATAAGTACTGTTAAATACATATTCTGTGTCCTTAACTCAATCAATCAGTATTTTATTATGGTCACAGACCAGAATTACAAATAAAAATGCATTAAAAATGAAATCAAACAAAACATGATATTACAGTTAATGGTGGGATTGTCAGTGGGCAGTCAAAGTCTGCCTAATTTTACAGACAGTGCAACAAAATTTAGTTGCGTTCAAAGAAACTGAATCATACTGATCAGATAGCAGCAACTGTACATAAAAAAGATCAGAATTTCCTGGATATTTTACCAAACAGGGAGTTATAAAATGAGTCCTCTATCCTTATAGAGGGTACAGTATAGCAGGGCATGAGCCGTGGTTTCCATAGCCCCTTGTCCACAGGGGCACAATCTTAGCTCATATGGGACTTTTTGTATCAGCCCTCCAAAACTACTGTGGGAAGAACATTGTAGCATGCTAGAGTTAGTGCCCTATGGAATTTGGAGACATTTATGTAATATACTTTTATAAGTATATTATAAAAAGGGTCTTGACTGCTCAAAAAAAGGTTCTTAGGTAGAGCAGACTAGTCCTGTTGCTTCCAGATCTTTGATACCTTGTTTAAATGCACCCACCATATGTTAGTAAATCACATCTCCAAAATTTTGGCCATAAAATTTTTGGCTTAAAATGAAATGTGATATACTTGCATGTGTAAAACTGAATGTTTATCCAGGTTTCTTCTCCTAACTACTATGGTTAGTTGTCATCCCACTTGGCCATTGCATATGAATTGGTATGCATGAAAAATTAGTTAAATATAATATCAGTGCAAATATTTTGGTCTCTTATCTCCCTGCCTCCCAACTAAAAATTTCAAGAAGTGTGGGGTTGCTCTTTTTTTGCATGTTTTTGAAATTTGTGAGAAAGTACATGGATTTATGCATAGATCGTTTTATGTATAGTTTTGTCTAATTATCTATTTTGGTATAGGAAAGCCTGCAGGAAAATAAATTTATTGGTTTCTGCTTGATTAGCAGAATAAAATGAAAATTACAAACCAAATTGTCAATTGTTCTTAGATACTATGGATAAATCCACCATTTTATTTTTGCAGTGGGAAGCCTTTAGTCTTCCTGAACTACAGAACTTCTTGCGTATTCTGGACAAAGAAGAAGACGAGCAACTACAAACCTTAAAAAGACGCTATGCAGTATACAGAGAAAAACTTGAAGAAGCTCTTGGTGAAGTTTGGATTCCAAGTTAAAAAGGGGCCAAAGAATACTCAGGGAAAACAGTGTGTTACTTAATTTTAAGTAACATGCTAGATTCAGTACCCAAAGCAAGATGACTTTAACGAAGACTAATTTGTTACCATAAAGGCAGTTCTGTAGATTGATACACTTCATTTTGCATGTAGGAGCAAAAAGAAATTGCAATATTTGCAGGCTTCTCTTATGTGCCGCATCTTGTTTTTCCCCCCCTAGTATCAGAGAAGTCTGTTTTCGAAGGCAATATGAAATGAAGCTTGTCTCCTTTAATGTTAAAACAAAGGGGGTGCAAATTTTAATATGCTACTCAAACTCAGTTTTGAATAAGAAGTAATATACTGTTTGATAGCAGAACTGATTTGCACTGCCTGTTTTCAAATATTTCTTTGTAATTTCGCAAATTAAATTATTTTTATGCAAGGAAGAGAAATGTGCTCCAGTGCTGGGTTAAAGATGTTCAAGCAAATGGAACTATAGAAGGTAGAATGGAAGTTGGAATGAAGGTAAGAGATGGAGAAAAGAAATGAATGTTGAAATAAAACTAAAGAGATTGTTTTGCAAGTTGGTTAATGTAATGAAAAAGAAAGTTGAGGGATTTTGCAGTTTATTACTGAAATTAATATATTCAGTGCTATTATTGAAAGAGGGTTTATTAAATATAATAGAAAATAAGCTGCATGTGTTTGATGTGCAGCACATGGTCACAAAACTATATGGGATATGCTTAAATATTGTTGAGATTTTTATAAATTTAAAATCAACATTAAAGAGTTAATTTGGAATTCTTATAATTTATTGAATGTCCAAATGTCCATTTGAATTTTTTTTGAATATACATTTTTATCTCATAAAAAGAGATAAAATTTATCTTCATGGTATTATTTTAAATATGAAACAAATTTCTTCCATTTGAAGTAGAGTAGTATTTTTACATATACTCATTGCACTGTGATCAACGTGAGCAAAACTGGTTTTAGTTTCTGTTCTGAAAAGTCAACTAAATGTTGACTAGGGTTCTAAGTGCAAGAGAGGGGGGAAATTGTGCATTTGATTAGCAGTATTTTTTCCAAAAATAGTTTAAGGTAAGTATAGTAAACAAAACCAAAGAAATGGGTGTGCAATAAAAACATTGACATTAAAAAAGGTTATTTTAGGTTGTGTATTTGCAGCCATCAACCAGAATATATTGGCTTGATATAAATAGTTTAAAAGAATCATGTTGGCCAACCTTTTTTTAAAATCCTAATTATTTGGACACTTATTTGAGAGTTCTGAGGAATATCTTTAGTCATGGTGACATCTGGTGGATATTGCAGGCAACCCCAATACATTATTAAACAGTACCTTCATGTTAATCTTTGGCTGCTTTTCTTCTCAAAATAAGAGGTTCTAACTTTGAAACTTGCAGAACCAATCTTTATTACAATAGACTATTAACGAATGCTACTTTAAAATTAATGGTTAACAAATAATGACATACCTTGCTTTGTTTTCTGTTCACACTTAATTGTAGTACTTTGTATTTGTCTTATTTCATTGGAGACATAATCAAAGTTCATAGAATAGTGGTGCTTGACTTCAATTATAATTTTTTTCCCCCTGAAGATACTAAGTCAGGTCAGTGGATCAATTTGGATATTATTGATCTCCTAATGGAAACAGTAACATCTTAATGCTGTTTTACTGTATGTTTCATCTTATTGTGTGCACAATATGCATCCTGGGTTCCACTGTAGTTTAATAGTTTCTACCTGGTTAATATAATTTGCAAACAAATGACCAATATGCAAACGTTGCTTCTGCATAAAGCATCCCTAAAGAAAAGGGCATTTTCACTAGAGCACAGTAGAAAAGTTCGAAGTTAAAGTAAGGAGGAGTGCAGGGGCGATTGTTTCAATTCCCCATTCAGTGTTTTGTACTTGCCACTGAATAAAACTTGCCACATGTTCAAGATATAATTTCTTTTCCCTCCTTTTCTGGGCAGGAAATATAGCTTCCTTGTTTGTTCTTTTAAGCATAAATCCAGAGCCACATCAGAATAAGGTAAGGGCAGTATTTCCTACCCGTGTCCTCTTTGGTCTGAATAGATGCTATTAGAACGAACATAGGAAGAAAGCAATCTTGCTTGTCTAAAAGGTAACAAACTATAAAAATAGTATTACCCATTGTTAGAACTTTAGAAAAGTGAAGATCACGATGGTAAAGGAAGTCAGAGCTTGCTTTTCTGTGCATTTGGATATACATCCTTGCCAAAACAGACAACATGATTTAAGAATGGTAATTTGGGAGGGGGAGTATTTTTTCCCAATTTGACTCTTTTTCCTCAACCTGCTTACTGGAGCAGTTAAACTGTAAACCAGTGGTAAGAGTCATTTAACTGTAATATGGTAAAACATTTAATGTTTGGATTTTTAAACATATGTTGCTAAGTTTGAAATACTATTTTTGAATATTGAATGGCAATGTACAAATATGTGAATTATAATTTTAACTTGAACTTTGTGCTTTCTTACTCTTTTTCGATTTGTTTTATGCACTACAGGTTTGAGTAAGAAAAAACGTTTGTATTAATCCAGACATTATTTTACTTGGGTTACTGCAATTATTTTTAATTATAAAGAGACTCAACGTTTGATTATTTTTTAATGTAGGATTCAATTTTTATTTTAGTGTAACATTCTTCAAAGATGTTACAGATGTTATGTTTTGCTTATTTGATAATGAAGACTAGGTTGGAGGGGAAGATGGAAAACACTAAATTGTTCTTTTTTGAGAAACTGTATTATTTATTATTTTGAAGTTTTTTATAGGGAAACTTAATTCCCTTTGATGTAACCAAAATACTGTAGCAAGTTTTCCATAATTAAAGCTGGAGTTGGCACTGTATGGTTGTTTCTTTTACTAAATTATTGATTTAAGTGTGGAATATGGCACCAGTCATTTTCCCACATACTCCCTTCTCTGTTTACCCAAGCATATGATCACTCAGTTCTTAAACCAGGGTAAGCTCTTGAGCAGAAGTTGATATTTGGATTTCATTTTCCACCCTTCCAAGGGTATGACAAATATTGGCGGTGACCAAATATATGTTAATGTATAATGTTTATACAAGAAAATATTGGATACTTAGGGTTTCTCTCTGTGTAAAAGCACTGTTCTGGCAGCAGCCGTAATTTTTTTTAATTGCCGAACACGTAGGTTGTCCTTGCTAGATAAGAGCATCACCTAACATATTGTGCCTTGCCTTCTTTTTTCTAAAAAGTCCAAGTGACTAATTCTGAAAAAAGTTAAATTCCTGCATCACAAAAAAGTACTTGTTTTTTCATGCATTGTCAGAGCAGTCCTTTTGGAATAATTTTTATTTTGTCCATCAAATATAATATTCAACAGAGTTCAAAATTGGTCAATATGGATTTTGTTTGTGATTATGAAAACGTGTATGTGTAGGTTCACACATTCAGTTAAATCAGTTTGGTTATTCATAATTTGTTAAAAAGTGGTAATGACTGGTTTTATACAACATGTTAAATCATTTGCAACCCACAATGGCTGTTTTGCTTGCAGCACTTAGACTAGGGTAGAAAAGAATTGTCAGTGCTAAGGCTGGTTGTTGTACTTGTTATTTAGTCTTAATTTTAATCCCATTTTTTCCACTGTGTTCTTAACTTTTATTATTAGAACTTGCATATCCTTTGCATTTCCAGCTATCAGTAGTGTCCTCAGCATAGCACAGGTGGTTTATGTTTCTTCCTCCATTTTTAAAATCATGCACCCCATCTCCCAGTCTACCTTCCCTTAATATTTATTCAGTATATAGTTTGAATAAATAAGGGGAGAGTATACAGCCATACCTCACTCCTTTGCCAACTTGAAGCCCATCTGTTTCATCATTCTGTCTGTGCTGTGGCTTCCTGACCTGTATGTAGGTTTTGCATAAGGAAAATGAGATTAAGATTTTTTTGTGGCTTCCTTAAGGGTACAAATTTGGAGGCAGGATATTCAGAACAAATATACCAAATGGAAGATGCCTCAATCTTCTCATTACTTTCAGCCTCTTCTGTTGACCCTATAGAATAAATGTGAAAGCAACAGCTTTTGACCAAGTGAAATATGTGGATATTGTAACATTGGCTACCAAGCTGTCTGTGCTTCAAAATAATGTCTGTACCATGATTCTTAGCAGCACAGTGTTCCACCCTTAATCAACTAGGTCTGAGTATCAAACAGTTGAATTAGTTATTAGATTTATTATAGTAGCAGGCTTAGTGCATTGGTTTTTAATGCTCAAACACTTTATTGTAGACAAGTTTAATCTCTGAAAAGTGTGCAGCAATATACAGGGGCCTTGAAAGGGCACTTTCTAATCAAAATACTGAAGAGGAAGAGAACATATATGTACAGTTGCCGTATTGCACAGACACATTAATGACATTTCTTACGATAAAAAAACCTACGTGACTGTTATGGCTTCAAGCAGCATTGCAAACAAAGCTACCGCTAGTTTTTAATGTTAATCAATGTAGGACAAAAGAAGTCTGATTGCCATAAAAGCACCTGGAAACCTGAAGTCGCATACAGTTGATGCAGTGACTCTTAGATTATCAGATAGAGCATCTCCAAGGGCAGTTTGTCATTTAAAGCATTTGCTTTTGGATCATGGTTTTTAAAAAGAGGAGCAGCTGTTTTTAGCATAGTGTGGGGAAAACATTACTTAGCCCTTCCAGTTGAATTAATAAAACTAATTTGCATTTGTTCCTGCAAAGTGTTTGCATACGCACAACAAAATCCAATGTAGCAGTTACATCAACTCAGGATGCTTATGAAACATGGCAACAGTTCCATTTATCAAACAAGTGTGTTAGTACCAGCTTGCCAGGCAGAAAAATTCCCTACTGAATGGCTGCTTGCATGTAATTGCCAAGCATGTCTTCCCTTTTATGTATGAATAAGTTACACTTACATATTACAACTAATACTCTATAAGGCCTATTTCAGTATCCAACAGTAGCATAGTAACTTCGTAGTAAGGCGCAGGTAGACAACTACCAAAACATTAATGCATTGTATGTAATTATAGTGTTTATAATTTTCATTTTTGTTAAAGTGATTAAATCAGGGGCATAGAAAGATAAATGTTCAGTAACTATTACATAGAAGTACCTTAATGCTATTTCTCATTCAGGCTCAGATGGTTATCAAATCCAAATCTGTATTTTTCTGTCTTGATTCTTTGGAAACAACCTGAAATCTTCAAAAATATGCCCGGTTTTCATACTGAAGTTGCAACCATATGAAACTTTAGCAAAACTATCAAAATATTTCACAGTATGTTAATTTTATGTCTAACTCCATGTTCTCCTTACATTGCTACTTAATTTAAAAGTGTTTTACAGGCATATTCATCAGTGGATTTCTATAGTAGTTGTACACAAGGAAAACAAGATTAAGATAAGAAACAGTTCAGAACTGAATTTGTCTGTTCTAGGTTTTGCACTGCTTCTGCATGGTTAGCCACCATAGCATGAAGGGAAGATATAATACTACAACTTTGCTCTGACCCAGGCATAAAAATAAGTATTTTGCTAGGCATAAACCTATAGTACATCAAAGTGTATGTTAGGGATCAGTCACTTTACATGTATGGGAAATTAAATCACTTTCTTGAGACTTAAAATCTGCTGGAACTTTGAAAGCATTAAATGTGATGGTAAAATCTGATTTCACAATCATCCAACTATTAAGTCCAGACCTGATCATAGTCGACAGCATATGCATTGAAATAAGCTAGAAGCATGAGTAATATGTGCCCCCAATTTCAGTTGTTATACCTCAAGGATGCTTGGATGCAACCTCATGTCAGCTTTTGCCATGTGCTGTTTGATTTAGATCCTTAACAATCTCTATAAATTGATGAAACTAAAGATACAACACAAAAGCTTGAACATGTTCAGCTGCAATAAATCAAAGCACAAGATTCACCAAAGGATAAGGATGGGAAGAAATGGCACTTAGAGGAGCTGCACTCCTGATTAAATGTTCAACTGTCTATTTCATTTGCTCTTATCTTAATATATGCTATTTACCTATCCCGAGAAACTAAGTTATTTCATAAGTTATCAGATGAAACAATCATATTTCACATCTATCCACCATAAGAGTTATATCTGTTTTAATAGACAGATTGTCATAAAGATACAAGTTTTCTTTTGAGAAACAGCCTTTGACTGCTGCTTTGGCCAAGACAGGTTCCATGTCATTTGCAAGAAATCCATTCTGAAAGCTCCTTTTTTAGCAATTACGCAGTGACCAGCTGTTTGTGAAGGCATTTTCTTAAGGACTATGCAGTACAAAAATGCATTGCATTACAAGTGAAGAATACAAATGTGCTCCAATGTAATAGCCATCCAGCTTAGGATTGAGTGCAAATGTAATCAGTGAAAAAAGCTGTCCTAGAATGTAAGGAATTTGTGCACCTGATGCTATAATGCAATTTTCATTTTAGTTATTGTATCTAGGTATACTTTCTCTTCTAACAAATAGGTCCAAGTTCCTGTTTAAATATTCAGAGTGGTATGCAGTATAATTTTATCATGGGACTTGTACTACTTTAGTGTACATTCCAAGCAAAGATACAGGTGTTTTGGGGGGGGGGAATTTTCATTTAATGGTTAACTTGATTATGACTCAAAATTTTGAGCTGATTCTGTAGGTAATACACATGCGTAATATCTGACAATAGCAGGCACAGATTCTAGCCACTGGTTCCAGGTGAACCCCGAAAAGCAGAGAAGAAAACAAATGGCAACTAACCTGCTTAATTTAATTCACCAGATTCAGAATGGAAGCAGTACTGAGATGCACACTGTATCTTTTTAAAAGCCTGTTAGGTAGTGGTTGTAAATAGGAGACAGCAATCCTAACCTCTGTGTATATAACAAGACCAAACAAGGACATTCAGATTCACATCCCAAATTAATATTTAACTTCAGATGAAACATTTTGCGTGGTAATCAGATTTGAGTAGACTAGGATAGATCATGTCTTTAACGCATGGCCAGAGACTGTTTGACCAGCTGATCAAGTCTCTCAAGACATCAGAATGTATTAGGCAGTTTTCTGCAGTCATTTCGAAGAAATGGACTTGGCAACAAACAAGGTGGCAGGTACAGCTACAGTGAAGGTGTAAGAAATCTGCGAGTCTGAATTCCTTGGTTACCAAACATCAGATGTGGGTTGAACTTATACCTAAAGGAAAAAGGGGGCAGAGAGAAGAAATATAAGAAAAGGTTTTATAGGCATGTTAAAAAATCTCAGTACACAAATGTGCATTACCAAATCTCTTGAGTTGTGAACTCAAATGTACAGTAGTGTAGTAGTTAAAGGTACTGGGCTAGAAACTGGAAGACCGCGAGTTTCACAAAGCCAGCTGGGTGACCTTGGGCCAATCATCCTCTCTAAGCCCTAGGAAGGGGGCAAGGGCAAACCACTTCCGAAAATATTGCCAAGAAAACTGCAGGGGCTAGGCCAAGCACACCAAGGATCAAGAGAGACTTGAAGGGGGAAAAAGGTGGTATACAGAAAAGAAAATCTTTTTTATAAAATCTGTACTATACAAAAGAAAATCACACACATACACACACAAAATCAAATCCCCTAAAATGAAGAGTTAGAAAATGCTATACTGGGCAGAATGTGGCCCATTAAATCAAGGTTTCATTGTAGTCCTAAAAATAACACCCTATTTACACGGCTTTTGATCTGAAAATGTTTATAGCTGCACATGTATGCAGCAAAACAAAACAAAACCTTGTCATCCCAAGGCCTGGGGAAAGAGCCAGGTCTTTAAGGCTTATTTAAGGGCAGCAGGGCCAGGACAATGTGAACCTTTGCAAGGATGCCATCCTAGAGGGCAGGTGCCACAACAGAGAAGCCATACTTCCTGCGACCATCAGGTGATATTGTTTCAAGGACAGAACCCAGAGTGTGTCAGCTCTGCTGGATCTTACAGGACAGGTAGTGACAATGGGAGAAAAGCAGTCTCCCAAACAACCAGGCCCTAATCCATGAAGGGTTTTATAGGTCACAACCAACACAATCTCACTTGAAAGAACACTGGTAACTAGTGCACTCATGCAGCAGAGGTGTCACATGGGTCTATCAAGGCACACCCATGCCTGCCTGCACAGCCATGTTCTAGATCAGTTGCAGCTTCTGAGTGCTTTTCAAGGGGACCCCCAAGAGAATGCATTGCAGCAGTCCAAGTGTTTGGTGATTTAAGTTATGAGTGACTGAAGAACGAGTCCCAGTCCAGAAGACTGCAATAAGCATACCAGATGAATCTGGCAAAGGCCTTCCTGGTCACAGCTACCACCTGCTCTTTCAGCAGGAGCTGAGTCCAGGAAAACCTTTAAAATGCACACCAGTTCTGTTTAGGGAAGTGCGGTCCCATCCAGTACTAAAGATGGCAAATCCCTCATGCCAGAAGAACTGAGAGCCCAAGCGACTCTGCCTTGTCCAGGTTAAGTTTGAACCTGTCCCTCCCCCCATCTTCACAGCCGCCATGCATTGGAACGTGACTTTAATGTAATTACTTGGTTGGCCTGGGGTTGAGATGTACAACTAAGTATCATCAGCATATTGATATTGAACATAATAACTGAAAGTTTACATTTACCCTGCATCGAAGACTCCTGGTGTGCGGCAAGTTGTTCCAGAACAGGACTGCAACATCATTAGCCGATAATTCATTTTTTCTAAAATTTCTTGATCTATTGTTTTTGCAATATTAGTAATCTGGTGTGGGTCTGCAGTCAGGTTGTAAACTTCAACAAACACCTTCATGAAAACAAAAGCAATGCTATTAGAAATACTCAATAAATCTGACAAATTGTGAAATAAGTTTCTTCAGAGCTCTAACACCTTTTTATCTATCCTACCTTAGTGAAGTTGTTCAGTCAATTCAAACATTTTTTTTTCATGAATGGAAAGCCTAGCCTTAGGTTTGATTTACAAGTTAAAAGTCATCTAAATGTTAATCACAGGCATTCATTTACTGAAAGGTATTAAGGGCACACAAGCCCAAAAAAAGATGAGTAGCTTTAACAAACAGGAAAAAGGCGCTACATTCACACAAGGTTCAAAGTGCTTTTCCCAAACAATTTTGGGAAATGTTTGTGCAGCCCTAGTAAATACGTAAGATTTGACTTATGACTTACAGTTTATTACAGTCTTAGACCAGTACAATACATAAGATTTAGACTTAAGGTACTAAAATAAAGCATATTAGTACTATTAAGAACAATACATTCATATAAGATTGAAACCATGGTGTGGGTACAATTAGGGTGGGTGACACAGCCTTTCCCATGCCCTCATGGTAGCAACTTCAGGCCTCTGAAAATGCTACATAGAGGATTGGAACCGCAGATGCATCTCTTCAGACAAGAACTGAAATTCAATTTTTCACCTCAACCTTGAACTTATCACTTACTGTTTTGAATAAACACAATGCCTCCACTGTTCATAACGACACCAATAGTACGAGTATAACCTAAAGCTGCCTATATATATTACACATGCTGATCCCAGTCTTCCCTCAGCTGTAAAGAAGCTAACTATTTAAGTCAGAACAGTCCTCCACCAAGTATTTACTGCTAATGTTGGTAATCAGTACAGGATTTCAAAACTATGTTGTGGGAAATGCATAATCGGTTACCTGGGTTCTAGCTGTGCTGTATGAAGTACATAACAACATAATAGAATACTGCAGCAATATAATAGATTACTAACATTTACATCTATGATCAATACTAGAACGGTACATGGCTAGAAATAAATTTTTGTGAGAAGTAATTAGGGGTATGAAGTGTAGCAGGAAGATAAACGTGGAAATATTTGCTAGAAGAGAATTAGGATGACAGTGCTCTTTTCTCCTCATAAAATGTCTTTCTGGTATATATTGGGAAGGTTCAGCTTGTGAAAGCAAATCATTGCATTTGATAAACCTCTTGAGGCAAAATGGTTGACACTATTTTTGAAACAAAGAGAATAAGCTTTTTCAACAGGTGCTAATGGCTGCTGTATTTCTATCTTTTACAAACACAGAACTTAAAAACTTCTGGATAATATATTATCTTTTTAGAAATGTATCCTACTTCTTTACAGTTATTAAAATAAATAGCCCTTATAAATCCAAAGCAGCCTTAGGAATCTTTGTAGCTGCTTAATTGTAGTAAACTCCAAAATGAATATGATTTACATTCATATGTAAATCCAGTAAGAGATAATATGGAAAACAGCTGATCATCCTGAATTTTTTCTGCATGTTTTTTTTAAGAGTAATTTAGGCTTAATTCAAACCATTGCTAATTGCACAAGTACTGTATTTCCCATGTGTATGATAAATATGTGAAGGACTACCATTAACATGGAATTGCAAAAATACAGAATTACCTCACGGTCATCAAATTCACAGTATTGCAGATCCCATGAAGTCGATAGCGTCCTTACACATGCGTAAGTATTGTTATATGCATCTTCACAAACACAGTCTGGAAAACAATGCTGTAAAAATAGCTAAGTGTTAGAACAGTTTTCAGTCCCATTCAAAAAGCAGAACATCGAAACAGCATATATCTTTGAGCCCAACCCAGAGACTTACAAAAAATGAAATCCAAATTTAATTTTAGTATCTTCTGTTTACAGCCAACATTTGACTATTAAGTATTTCCATACAAACCCATCTCCCTCTACATTTAGGATATGAAGGATTCTAAAGGGAATGCAACAATTTCAACGTTACGTACAGTAACACCAGGCCCAAGGGCAGGACAAGTAGGATCACTGCTGTTATGGCCTTCTCCTTGGTATTCAACCAAAACATCTGATCTCCAGGTCTTGTTTATTTCTCCTCTCTACAACAAAAAAGGAATTAACAAAAGTGGGGATTATTGCTTTTTTGCAGGCTCACAGACTGTCTAGAATTTAAGCTCCTTTAAGCAAACTATTTCTAACCTTAGAACAAAAATAAAGTCAATAAATATGAAGACCCCTCAATAATTTCATGATGGAAAACTGTTGCCCTTTTCCAATATACAGCATCATCAAAAACATGACTAGTGAAAAGCACATTCATTTACAGATGATTCCACATTACTCAGCTGTACACAGGAAGATGAGGTATTTTGTCCATCTTGACCAGGGTTCTCAAACTCACGGTGCTCATCTTAGTTTTCCAAGATCTCAGACAAAGCCGGTGACATTGCATCACCTCAAACCTGCTCAGTTTAAATAGAAGCTCGCACGTGAAGCATATTGCTTCAAACCAAGCTGTAAAGCAATTCATTCCTACCACTATTGACAGAAAGGCATATATGAAAATAATAAGGAATAGGAGATTTATCATTATAATCCATGATAGTTATGCTAAGGAACCCTTAGAGCAATCATCAAAATAAATAACTACCTAATTTGTATACTTACCAGCAATGGTAACAATGACATCCCATCCATCTGGGTTTTATTTAGATCATAGCCTGCAATATCTAAAATAGTGGGACCCAAATCAATGTTCGCCACAAGCATCTAGAAGGCAATGAGAATATTACAGATTTTCCAACTAAAACAATTAGAATGTTAGATTTTCCAACTAATATTAAAATGGCTGTGTGTGTGTATATGTATATGCAGAGACCAATATACTGTATTTAGTTACCATGTTAGCCTTTATTGGACTCTATGAGATAGACTTTACTTATATTTTGAAAAACTGGGAATAGGGATTGCCAAAACTGCAGAAGTAACAGAACTGAAAGCATAATTTGCTGCTTCCATTTGCCATTTACCTGTATAATCTCTAACTAAAATTCCACCTCAGTGGACAGTGTCACTAAAGCTTAGATCTGATAACTGGCCTTCTGGAATTAAATAGCCAGCTTTTTTTGTGTGTTCTTAAGCATATAGAACAATGGTTCCCAACCTATTTTCCTGGGACCACTAGCAACTCAGGTGGTTTTGTAGGTGACAAAATGGATTTTTTTGTGAGATTTTGGCATCCTCATTTGGAATCTCATGAGATTTTGGTTTCTGCCCACAATCCCGTAAATTTCAGGTGAGAGTTCTGATATCCTCTAAGCTTTAGGGATCTCTTGAGCTTCTCACTAAGAAAATAATGCCAGTGGTCATGTTGCTGTGGTCCCACAAATGCTGCATGATTCCTGGATTATGTGGAGGCCCTACCATTGTTTGATAACACAGTGGTACACATAAAGAAAAAGACTTGAAGCCACTGGTTCAGAATGTGAACGTTCCATCTTACAATAAATGGAATAGTTGTGTAGTAATTCAATTATTATCCTATCCTTTCCCCATTCTAAATCATGAATTTGTGCATAAGGATTTAAAGATGAGGTCCATTCCAGTGTACATAAAATATATAAAAACAGAAGCAAGAGTGAGAGAAAGAAAAGTAAGGGAAATGAGGAGGTAAGGAAATCAGTTCCATATCATATATATCAATATGCTCTTGCAAAGCCCTTTATTTTCTGTTTCATGGATATAGGCAGTCTTGTGGCTAAGTAAGCTTGCGTTTATTCATCATAGTGTATTTGGGACAACATCTCATGAGAGCACATGCAAAAGAATGCATCTGCAAAAACAAGACATGGTGCTATTTATAATCCTAGCCTTGGTCCATATTCATTCGTTTACCCTAGAAGTTCTCAGACTGCAAGTTGTGAGCCCTCTAATGGTTGCAATAAAATTTAGGACTTTGGGTCCTAGGGGTTGCCAGCCCAGACCAAGTTGTGGCCGGTCTACAGCTTGTGGTCTACATCCAAAGCTGAATTGTTTCAGAACTCATTTGTACCCTGATTGGACAAATCAACAGAAAAGTCGGCATTTTGTACAGTTGCAGCTATTAAGGGCAAATATGAATTCAAAATAAATGTGCAACTAGAAATGAGAGTGGCTATCTCAAAAATAAAAACTGTATTTCAGGAATTATGCAAAGCTAATCAAGCTTATACTTAAACTACAACATTAAAAACTATGGTTTTAAGTTTGTCTTTTATAAAGTTGTAAGGTTCTATCTAATATACAGATTAAAACCAAATTATTAAAAGCGGTACACTTATTTCTTACCCAACCCTAACCCCAATAAAATGATTAGTTTTTCATTTATAATTTTATGGGGTTGCTGCCCTACAAAGTTTGCAGACTGTTGCTTTGTTCATATAATTCATCCCTTACAGCAATAATGCAATGTTCAGGCTTGGCTAGTAAATAGAAAACTTATCTAGCCAGCCATATGAATAACAAGGGCTTCCAAGAATTAGATGAGAAGCTTTATAACAACTTTTAAAAAATACCTGGAGGATTAAAATAAATGTGAGTTGCTTCTACTGTTTTTTTTACGAAGCAGATTCAGAAGCAATTACAATTAGACAGCTTTACCCACTCATGTACATCATATAGCTTTACATACAGTTTTACTTCTCCCCTCTTATGTGCCCTATTTCTATTCAAAATACTCTCATTCTCATTAATTACACTCAATATACAATTCATACTATAAATGTTTTGGTACCATATAGTGTTGTTCTCAAAGGAAAATATACCTTGTTTGTCTGGTTGGGTTTGACTCCTGGACCTCGAACAAGCAATGGAACTTTAATATCAAATTCATACAGCTGCCGTTTGTCAATAGGCAACGAAAACTGGCCTACAAATAGAGAGAAATTCTATCACTCATGACTTGCAAGAAATTCTGAAGCAGAATATTGCTAAGTACTTCATTCTTCAGAGGTTGATTTGCAAGTTACTTTTCTACTTAATCTATCTGATCTTCATGAAATATTTTTGATTAGTTGCTCATCTGTTGGCTTTAAATTTAGAACTTCCAAATGAGAGTATCTCAAGAGAGTATCTCATATATCTCATACATATATGACCATCCAGGTTGAAATCAAATGATGTCTAAGGATACAAGTCTACATTATTTCTCTCCCCAGAAATACATTTTTTCTAAAATGTTGTCCAAATGTATGCCTGGAACTCCTAAATTAATTCTAGGGATATTTTATATATAAATATATATTTACCTGTATGAAATCCATTGTCTGATGTGTAAAAAATATATGTATTATCCAGCTCTCTGTGAAATTCTAGCTTTTTCACAAGTTTTTCTACTAGATCATCCACTGACAGAAGTGTCTGCCATCTACATAGGAACAGGATTGTTCAGGTTGAAATGCAAAACATTTAACAGTATTTCACATCTTACAGAAGACATTAACTGAGTTCACACATTGTACAAAGCCATGGTTTATTTAGCTTTTTTCTGAAATCAGCAAAGGTCAGGTAAGTACTGTCACCCGAGCTGGGCAAAACCACTTTAGGGTTCTTTTTAGAAGTTTTATCTGAGTTGTTCAATAGTAACAGCACTCAGCTGAAACTCAGGAGAACTTTCTACTTATTGGTAAAGAACAACATACTAGCACATGCTGCCACATTCACACTACATTTTACAGTTCTCCCATCAATGGAAGTAAGCAAACCAGAAAGCAAAAATGTAGTCTTAAACCAGGAGCACCAATTCAGATGTGTTACTCTGTTAACTAGAAATAATCTGAGAACAATATTTGTAGTTAGTTTCCATTTCTGAGTTTGAGAACACAGGAGTTTCCTCTTAGGCATAATGCTTAACTTGAGACTCTGGCTAATTTCAAGTTACTTTAACTTAGGTCTCCCAGCCCAGTACTTTCTAAAATTTCTGGACTTCCCAAACTACAAGGACTCCAAATTGCAGAAGGTAATTCACAGCAATCAAGTTGAATGAATAGGTCAATGTGTATGAGTGTATGTAGCATTATATGCTAAAAGAGACTTACTAATCTTTTATGAAAATTATTTCATATTATATTTCTCAAAATCTACAGCCAGAAAATGTAACTAAACCATAATCAACCCTTGGGTACTACCTATATGAGGGAGAGCTCATAGTCTTACAATTAGTTTTATACTAGGATTGTAGGCTCTGTTTCTCCCTTTTGCAAGGGAAACATGGTAAGACAATAATAATATGGAGAACTTTTGTAACATTAGGGTGGATGAAGGATTGCTTTTCATAAGTATTAGTAGCTTTATACTTTCTGAAGTTAATTTCTCTATCAAAGTAATAATCTGAAGCATACATTTTATACAAGCGTTTCTTTGATTTTGCAAAAAAAAAAAAACCACAAAACTATAAATATTGTTTTCTACCTTTTCCTAAAAGCATCGTCTAGAAATTGTATTGATGAATTTGTCATTGGAGTCTTTGCTTGTCTGATAAGCCAATGTTTGTCCTGTAAAACATTGTTATTAAAAACATGAGATAAATGTATTTAATATTTAATCAACATTACATAAGATATCAATTTTAATTCTAGTTGAGATGTGCAGACAGTACAAATTTTATACAACTCTACCCAAAAGTAAATGCCACTGAATTCAATGTGGCTTTCTCTCAGTAATTAGATATAGAAAGGATAGAACCCTTATCCTATTAATTTAATGCAATCAATTTCAAGCATCTTTTCCCAAATAAACTGGCTGCCACATTTTGGTATTTCATCAATTTCAATAGTGACTATTGCTTAAATTACAACCCTCATACTTGAAAAAACCAAAGGAAAATTGAGCACCAGAATTTTCCACAAAGGTGCAGTGTCTTTTGCCAGGTTGCTGTTGTAGTGATGTTTCTTCTACAAAGAGACCTAGACTCAAACATTTTGACTCCTAATTTTTTTTCTTATTTTTCATTAATAAAAGAATTATTGTCTGAGTGCAAGCTCTTACTAGGCAGGAATTAACAAAAACACTAAATATTGTAAAGGACAAGACCTTGAATTACAGGAATAGGAAAAAAGAAAACACTATGCAATGTAAGAGGAAGAGATATCATTATCATCATCTCATGAAGTAGAGTACCATATGGCCTTCATTTTCATCTAGAATCAGAACAGAAGGCACCAGTCTAATCTGGAGTTGATATGAATGATTATTTGTCAAAACAAAATGTGCGTCATTGTTTGCTAACCATGTCCAATACATTTTATTGCAAAGTGCAGCATAGATCAGCATATTCGAGGGAGGCATCCATCCAACCACAACTGAAAGATAAATGATTTCAGGACAGTTTGTATCATCTTGCTAATAAATGCCTTGATCTTACTTCATAATCTTCAAGCTATATATGGAGTAAGTTCAAATTCTAACTAAATTATTGGCATCATTTGCTTACAATGTAATCTTATAGATATATACTGAAAAAGCCCCTTGAGTTTAACTGTCTTTATTCTCAAATAAGAAAGCAAAAGATGTCAGCGTTAAAATCAAAATTAAAAGCATCTACCCTTACTCACTTTGCCTTGGAAATGAGACAGATGAAGCATGCTTTAGGTACAGATTAACAAACTCATGTCAGAATGCTAGGTAACAGGATCTACGCAAAGCTGTTAAAAATAAATTAGTCAAAAGAACAAAGTATATATAGACAGTCATATGCATTAGGTGGCAAAAACTGAAATGAAGAAGTGACAAAAACATGTAATATAGTAGTGAGAGAATATCTGGTGTAAAACAAAACCTGAAGAATTAAAAAAAAAAGAATTTTGCTACTGCATATATTTTATGCCTTAAGGTCATGAAGTTAAAGCAGAGATCCATTAAGAATATCTAACAAACGCTAATAAGAATATCTGTAAAAGATCCAGAATCCATACCTTTCCATGGATATTGAAGTTATTGTTTCTAGGAGCACTGACATTCTCAAAACTCTTCTTGTACTGAGGAGCAGCTATCCAAGGTGAGTGTGGTGCCGGAGTTGCTATCATCATGAAAAATGGCTCAAAGCTGGATTTATATTCCAGAAAATCCAAGGACATATTGGCCTGAAAGCAGATGCTTATTAATTTATCCACTTGTTATCATACTGAATCAGAACCAGCTGTCTGTAAGGGAATACCTCAAGTTACAAATTCACAAAGCATTAAATTTAAGTTGTCTTGTGTTTTTATATTTTTGTTTACATAAAATACTGAGTAGCATTAGAAAATATTTGCTACATTCTTAATCTGAGGGATTAAGCCCAGGGTCAAGCTTTCTCAGTGATGGCCCCCTGCCTCTGGAACAGCCTACCCCCAGATAGTTGGGCCCCCCCTCTCCCTCTTATATTTTAAAATTGCTGTGAAAACCTGGCTCTTCAGACAACCATTTGGGGATGCCTCAAGAATTTGCTGCCTGGAGAGACTTTTATATGGCAGAAATAGAAAGAATTACAAATACCTACAGCCGAAGAATGGATATTGAAATTAATGGAATTGGCAGAGATGGCAAAATTGACTACTTTGATTAAATAAAAGACTTTCATTGGCTTTGTTTCTATTTGGAAACCGCTTGTTTTAAGTATCCAGGATAAAAATCACTAGGTAATGGTAAGACAATATAAATCATAGCCTTTTCAAAACATGTCATGATCAATTGCTCCTTATTTAGACTTTCTATCTTAATAATAAGAGCTTAAACTGGTATTATTATAGCTCAATATAATCTGAGCTTTCTGTTCACTTTATTATTTCCCTACAAGAAAATACTCCACATATGCTGAATAATTATGTCAGCTGCTTAGTCTTTCATGCTAATTTTTGTTTTTGTATCAGTCATAATCAGTTCTATCTAACTTTAAAGAACAAATGATAGTATTAGGACATTTTTTATGTTCCACAAAGTAAGGTAAACTTTGTTTACTTTGATGCAATAACTCTATGTTCCATAATGAACTGCAAGTACCAGATTTCATTATAGCATTCAAGCAAGGACAATGTTTTGTTTTTTAAATTAACTGCAAGGTAAAAGGATTAGACTCCTGATTTTCCAATATAGAAAAAAGATGTAGAAAGAAGAGAAACAGTCATATGGATCTGGGACATTCAGCTGTAATAAAGTATGACGATGATGATTACAATCTTGGGAAGGTTCAGTCATGCCTTGATGTCGGAAGTAAACTGTACTATAGAAAACTAGGAACTACAAAGAGATCTGGGATAGGTCTGTATCCTAAATAATTTCATAAGTAAAGTACAATGAAACATACACTTAAGAGTTAAGAATATATTTACTCTCAGGATTTTACTCTGTTCATTTGAGCAGTACACTATTTCCAGACAGATAGCCATATTGGGACCATACAGCAAAACAATGACCTGTGACAACTTAACATTGATAAATGTATTGTAGCATACCCTTAGAGGGACTGCAGTCTAATCAACTACACTGTGCATAATAAATTTGCTAGCATTTTATTTTAACATTCAACATGTTACTAGAACAAGCAAAAATGGGACATGCTAAAACTAGTTGAAAAATTCTTACCAGTACATCTGTCAGATAATCCACACTGTAGTTCTCGCCATGCCTACGTGCTTTTCCATTTACTGAAAGTGTGTAGTTATAATATTTGGAATTTTTTTCCTAGTGTAAGAAAATAAAAACCCAATGTTTATGCACAGGAAAGAGACAATAATAGAACAACAAACCAATATTCTTTAGAATTTTGGTTTACTGAGCCAAATTCTGACATATGCAGTCCAATTATTCCCACTTAGCCGGTCACATTGTGTCTGAACTATGCCCTAGGGTTGTTTCTCCCTAATCATCTAGAATCTTACCAGTCAAGAATACATCCTATCTAATGAGCCTGGCCTTGAGTGCAAATCAAAGTAAGGCTACCAGTTCAGACATAACACTAAACAAACTGCAGGGAGAGATTTTCTGATTTAACAATTACCGCTAACAATCAGGAAGCATCTACTGATATGCTTATTTAATCTGGATATACCAGAATTCTTATAATCTCGCCTGAATTAGTCCCACTGGACTGTTGTTGACATAACTTGCTTCTTTCTAACTTAGAGACGATTAAGTCATAGCAGGTATCAACCTTAAATATTCAATAAATACAAATTTATTTGTAACAGAATTATGCAATAAACACATATGTACTATGCCTCTCTTCTTAATGACACCCATCTTTTTGTGGCACAAATTAAGAGATGCCAGAGAAAATAATGTCCTGTTTAAAGCTACATATAAACTATGTCTTTCTTTTATACTTACCAAGGCATACCAAAAACTCCATCCAGGAGGAACATGGCCAATTCCTCCTGCATCCTCTGCTCCATACTGGAAAAAGAAAGATGTAATATTAAAAAAGCCAATTTCATCATTCTCTCAGCAGAAAATCTTAAGAGTACCCACAGCTGTCCCTAGAAGAGGTTTGAGGAGAGTGTCAGAGCTGTCTTATCTAAGAAATATAACGTTTTAATGTGAAGTAAATGGCATGGCTTTCCTCGTGTAGATTTCTTCAGTTACAAGAGGCAATCCACAATTTATTAGACCATGCTGAGAATGTATACATATTTGCCTAACCCCATATAGGTTTATAGGTTCCATAACCATCAAATGATTTAATCAAGAGCTTCACTACTAAAAGTAGTGCTCATTTGCTGGGGGGGGGGGAGAACCCTTCTGAGGCCCACCTTACATTCTTTAAATTATATAGCAGGCTCCTAAGAACAATCACTGGATGCCACAAAATACACCGCACAATCTCTCTTTCTCACACACCTATATAGATATAATACATATATATGATAATTAGTCAGACTTTAAAATAAGGCAATTCAACTAATTCCTATCGGTCTTGTATTTAAGTACTATATGAATTTTAAGTATTCTTGATCTTACAGTGATACATACTCTAATTTTATAGCTTAAGTTTCAGGACCATGATTTCCTATTTCTTATAGTGTCTTTTTTCTTTTATAATCTTTTTTTTAAATTCCTTAATTATAATTTCAAGGAATATGTAAAACTACATAATTTACACATGAATCTAGATTAATTCAAAGAGATTCTGTTTGCCATGTGCAATCAGCCAGAGAAGTGGTGTTTGGGGCCTAAGGTTCTATTATGTTGTTGCTTTTTAATTACATTTACTTTGTAATTGTTTTTTATTATTTTTATGATATTTTTATGCATGCTGCCCAGAGATTTAAAACTGGATGGGATATGAATTACATAAAAAATAAATATGTCCGCAATAATACTTATGAATTTTTAATTTTGCAACAATCCTAAATGTCGCCACATATGTTGACCTGTTACAGATTACATCAGATGATGTTGTAGGCTATCCAAATTATGCTACTTTCAGTTCAGTTTTTGCTTTTCAAGTATTTGTGCAAGTCTAAACTTGAAAACTATCGGGTTATAATGCAAGATACTAGCAAGAATGTTTAATTTAGACAAATTAATACATTAGCTGTTATAAAGAGAATCATAAATGCAGTGTTTTACAAGAAAAATTAAGTAGACATGAAGACAAGACCTATAAAATACTGTCTTTTAACTCAACTCCTGGCATCCACACTGGATGTCAAAGTGTCTTCTAAACCCATGCTGAACTACATTTTAGATTTGGAACAGTTTTTGTGCTATATCATCAAGAAAGAAAAGGTACTAGAAATGCTATTCTACATCAATTACTGTACTTCATGAAGTAACAGCTCCTGACCAACGGGACTTCCTAAACAATTAGCCAGCCTAGAAAGTTCTGGAAATGGCATGAAAATGTCAGTAAATTGCAATGATCCCTGTGGTAATTGGTTCTCACAGCCATCTGTTATATGGGAAGTTATACTATAGGATTAAGTTTCCAGAGTTGATGGCAAAATTTTATTATTTAAAGTTGTCAGTATTAAGTTCTATTAAACATACTGAATGGCTCTTGCTGTTTCAAGACTATATGAGGATGAATATCATGTTCAAGCTTCCTTTTCAGATGAACCCTGTTCATATTCCTTGAGATAGTTTTATACATGCAAAAACCTATAAAAATGGATATTTCAAGCAATATGTAACATAATATATACATATATATACCTCATTCAGGTATTTTCCAGCAAAAAACGTTTGATAGCCACATTCAGACTTGAGGAGAGCTGGAAAGGTATATGGCTCTTGAATCTTCTGCCAGGATTTGCTGCTGCAATTTCCTTCCAAAGTATTATTTACAACATGATGATTGTGCGGATATTTTCCTGTCAAGATGCTGGCTCTACTAGGACAGCACAGTGCACTGGGTACATACTATATGAAAAAGTTAAAGATTATAGAACTAAGATAGGTTGCAAACACTAATTTTCTACATTTCAGTCTAACTTTTAATAAGCAGATTAATGTAAACAATCAGATTGGTAATTGCAGTCCTTACAGTTCGTGGATTTAATAATTCTTTCCATAAAATTTCTAAAACTACTCTGCATACAACATCCAAATATATTTTAAAATATTTGATGACATAAAACAATATACAGGGTATCCCAAAATTAATAAGGCAGTCACCAAAATAAATATCCCTCATGAATATATTTTATTATTTAAATATTACTTTTTGCTTGATATTATAACCCAGTAATTATTTTAATTTTACATTTAGTGAAAGGTTAAAACTAGGGAGAATCACAATTTCCAATATTACTGAAATGAACAAGGTCTTTATTGTGAAGATATTTTGCAACAGAGGAAATAAGAGTTAAATGTTAAAATATTCCTTAAAAATGTGACATGTTTAATTTTTTTTCCAGTTTACTGCCAAATTTCAACTGGCTTCTGGAACACCATCTTTCATAAGACAATAGAACACAGCAGTTCAAATAATACTGCTAGTTAACTACACCAAAGTATTGCCTAAATTGCAAAATCTTCAAAATATATTGAAACATCTTTAGAAGGAGCTCTGAGTTAATCTCAGAAGATATATTTTGAACATTGGAATAGATAGCGCTCTCCCACACGTCTTAAATAACCTAATTTATGATGCTATTTGAGTTTGTATAATGATAACACTTGTACTCTAAGTCTCCTAACAATCTCTCCCAGTAGTTTGAGATGTTAACCAGCAGAAAGGTTATGTCCAGTATTGTGGGATAGTAGAAGCCAAACATCAAGCAATCCATACAGATACACTGCTGCTCCCCCACCCCCTCATTATTCTTGTGACTAAATTTCTAGGAAGGACAAAAAACACAACATACATACCCGGCAAGCCCTATTCCCATCATTCAGGACAAAAGAATATGAAGACAACATATATCTCCAACCAATATAAAAAGGAACATCAAATTCACTATCAGTCTTTGTTAACAGTTTAAGTATCACACAGATGATTATACTGTAAACATACAGAATGTCCATAATTAACTAAAAATTACAAAGTAAACTTTGATGTTGATAGAAATCAAAGAATCTAATAAGACAATGACCAAACCTAACAAGTAGCCAAAAAAGTTCTCAGTGGTGTCGTCTAGCCAGAAACAAAGATTTTCCCAACTTTCTTTTTTTACTGCAGCAAAACACTAGAGATGGCAGTTCTCCACAGTGGCATCACAGTGATTTCACTATATAGCACCTAGGTTTAATTACTGAGAAATATTCCACTTAAAAAAAAATAACCCAGTTCTCTGAACATTTACACTGCCTTTCCTAAAGGTTCTACAGCTCTGTAATATCCTTTTCAAATGAGCCCTACATGGCATGGGGCCAGGTTACCTGAAGGACCGCCTCGCCCCCACGATCTCAACCCGTCCCGCCCGATCTCACAGAGATGCTTCGGATCCCCTTGGTAAAAGAACTGGGATTAGCGGGGTCCAGGAGGCGGGCCTTCTCTGTTGTGGCCCCCGCCCTTTGGAACATCTTGCCCCC